CCCCCCTCACCTCTGCCCAGCCCCCCCTCACCTCTGCCCAGCCCCCTACTACCATAATCAACGATCCCCAGCCCTCTACGACATCAAACGAGCCACAAGTCATGAATTATGCGAAAGCAGTGAAACCTGCGTCTAATTCTGCCATGCACGATCGAAGACCAGCAGTGGAACCAATTGCACTCAGGCGTGCCAAAATCTTTCAAGGGCAGCCAACTGTGTGTTTTACAGAATATGAGGTGGAACGGATGAATATTATGGAAGGACTACAATACGCAGTTGTATGCAAGTTTTCATACGGGTGGCCAGATATTAATGAAATTCGTCGCATTGTTCCTATGCAATATGGTATCAAAAGTGAGTGTAACATTGGGTATTTACGTGATAGGCACATATTGATACGTTTTACATTATGGCAAGATTATGTAGATTTTTCGTCAAAAGGTATGTATTACGTTAAGGATAAACATGGGGAGGAGTATCAGTTGAGAACTTTAATTTATGATGCAAAATTTAAAGTTGAAGAGGAAACACCAAAGGTGATGGCATGGATATCGTTTCCTAATTTGCTGCCAACATATTTTGTCAAGGAATGTCTATTTTCGCTTGCTTCAGCAGTTAGTGTACCACAACATCTTGATCTAGCAACAGTTAAGAAAACTAGGCCTAGTTGTGCTCGTGTGAAGGTGCTTGTTGATTTGCTAGCTGATCTACCGAAGAAGGTCCGCATGGATATTGTTAATGAGGAAGCTGGTGAGGTTCGAACTGAGTGGGTAAACATTAAGTATGATTATTTACCTAAGTATTGTAAAGAATGAAAATTACAAGGCCATGACATGTTTGAGTGTTGGAGGCTTCATCCAGAGAATAGACCTGTTGATCATAAGGCTAGTACAGAAAAGCAAGTAGAGAAAGGCAATGCTTCTGCAAATGTGAATCAGCCATTTATGATTTTATCGAGTGGGAAAGTTGTTGGGAATCCTAATGCAGCTGGTGAATAATGGAAGGAGGTGAGAGATAATCGTATCAAAAATGGTGCTAAGACTGCTGTTGAACATGGTCAAACAGGGAAAGAAATTGTTTCAGCAGGTAATGACAAGGTCCAACAAGCTCAAGGGAAAAAGCAAGTTCAAGTTTCTAACAAGTTTGCAGCATTGGAAAGCATTGAGGAAGGGAATGATCAAAATAAACAGTTGGCTATTGTGGAAGAAGTGCAGGAAGTGGTACATATGGAGAATAATTCACCAAACAAGGAAAAGACTCGAGGACAAGGTAGTAAAAGTCCTAAAAAAGCTTCTCCTACTGGAAACAGGAAAGGGTTGAATCCTGCTGCTCCTACTTTTAATCCTACATCTATGGGAAGTGAGGCAGCAAAGAATGGATGACTCAATAGTCCTAATGAAAGAAAGAATGGGGAACCAACCAATAAGGAGTCTACTTCACATTGGGTTCAAAGAACATTTGCAGGCAATGCTGTAGGTATTAACACATCATATAAGGATGTACCATCTCAAGACACAAGGGTGGAAAGTATTTTGGCAAAGAAAAAGAAAACAATGGAAGATGATGAAACAGAATCAGATGGAGAAGATATTGCAGCAAAAGGGAATGGTAAGTGGTCAGGTGGTAAGCTGTGGAGCAAGCAGATAGAAGAAGATCCAGATGAAGGATTCATTCCTGATCGTATGGTAGCAGAAAGAGATTCTGATGTTGAAGCTAGAGAAGAAGAACAAAGTGTAAATGGTGAGGAGAAGAATAGCAAAGAAGAATTCAGGTGAGCAAGGTGCAGGAAAATTCAATGCCTACAGGTGAGAACAATGTGACAATTGGAGATGCAGATCAGGTGAATGCTGCAGCAGAAATTACTGTAGCAGAAGTAGAAAGTCCTATTGATGATGCAGTGAATCCTAAAGATATCAATGTCAATATGGGAGATCCAAGTGGAACTGCTATTGTTCCTGAGGAGATCAACAAAGAAATAAAGGAAAGTTCTACAGCTGGGAGCAAGCAGAGATCAAAAGAACACAGCACTGTTCCATTGGAGGGTATTCAGAACATAGTGCAGCAATATGGTGTCAAATCTATTGCTGATGGGGATCAGGTTAATGCAGTAGGTACAGATGAAATCCATGATCAAGTAGCAGGTGAACATGTTGAAATTCCTGGAAAGGATCTGGATGAAGAGTATTTGCTCAAAATTTCAAAAATGTTGCAAGACAAGGTGATTTATCTCCCAGGCATATGCTCAAGGTTAAAGCAGCTTCTAAAGGGAGGAAAAAGACTACTAAGGATCCAGTTAAGGAATCTTCAATTGTTCCTGTAACTGGTGTTCAAACAAGGAGGACATTCTCAAAATCAACTAACCTCTAATGGATGGTCTTTTATGGAATATAAGGTCAGTAAAGACCATGCAGGCGTTTGAGAGGCTCGTTACAATGAATAGGAAGCACCATTTTGAGTTCATAGCACAGAAGGGACAACACAAGGAGAAGTGGGACAGTATGGCTATAGAGCAAATCTGGTTCAAGGGAGGGTCATATTTGAATGGGATTGGAATGAATAAGAGGAGTAAGGTGATGGAGGAGATGCAGGAAATGGAAAGAATAAGGCTGGGCAAGTGGTTTTCAAACAGGATCAACATCCTCAAATCCTTGAGGAGGAGAGGGTGGTCATCGATTTTTTCACTAACCATGTGTTCTTTTTTGCAGGGATCGATATTATACTCATGCCATGGCACTCATCGACTTCTATGGGTGGTATTAGCACTTAGTGCTCATTCCCTTGAAGAAGGAAAGGCGACATGCACTAGCATGAGATGGATATTTTGGAAAATTACAAGAACAACTCTGTGGGAGTTTTGGTTAGCTGTGTCCACTATCATGCATGCAGCAATTTTAGGGCCAAGTTTTTCTGGGCAAGGGAATGCTATACTATGGGTCACGAAAGCATAATGTCAGATTCACAATTCAGGCATCCCAGGGATCAAAACATGTAAAAGCCATCCAAAAAGATAGTGAACAAGCTGGAATGGGCAGTTATAGCTGCAATTCTCTGGAATGAGCAGACTTTCATTCACTACTGATGGATTCTGATGGCCTGAAGATCATTAGCAGGTCAATTCATACAAGGGGTCAGGCAAACATCGAGGGAAGAACAACACACATGTGGAGCAACTTCACACATCCCATCAAGGATCAAATCCACTTGGAAGAGATCTTGAGGATGAATTTTATCACTAACATAGGTTGCTCTTTTGCAGGTTTCATTACTGTGCTATACCTCATCTTATGGGGAACCTACTATTGGTGGTATTAGTACATAGTACTCAGTCAATGCAGGGAACTATGGATGAGCAAAAGTATAGTAGCATCTACAGGAAGGAGCAAAAATATGGGCCGAACTCATCTGCACCTCTATGCATGCAGAATGTTGTGGCCAAGATATCTGGGCAGCTGTGCTGTACGATGGAACTTGAGTCATATGCAGAATCACGATGCACCAACTCAGGAATCAATACACAAAGAACATACAGTCCAAATGATAATCATCAAGCTGGAAATGGAGATCAAAAACGTCACCTCAGAGCTGATTTTGTTATGGCAATCCACAGACATTTTTTGGCTACATTTTTTGGATAAATCTAAAGCATATCGGGTTGGGATTTCAGCAGGTCAATACAGCGGAACATACCAAAAACATACTCAAGGGAGGGAAACAACAAAATGGAAGAGGAAGATAAGTGAAAAAGAGAACAGAAAGGAGGCACGCGGTCACCTGGGAGCAGATTTTATGCAACTCTTGAACAAGTACATTTGGAGATTGTGTTACATGGAACTCATGAGGAATCGGATCAGTAATGGAGCAACTATAGGATTGGTACATCACCAAGGAGGAGAAGAACACATCATGATCATAGGAACAGAGTTATTCTTCCATGATAGAATTAGCAGTGGTAGATATATCATATTTGATTTTAGTAGACCTCATCATGTGATACTAATGTTGAGTACTATGCTCAATATTGGTAATAGGTTCTATGTAGCTTTCAAGTTTTATGCTTTTCATTTGTTACACCTCCGGACAAACTATGTTTTTGAATTGCTTATATTAATAAAAAACTAGCCCTAGACTCTGCCTAGTGGATTGCTAAAAAAAAAGGCTTAACAGGGTAGGGCAGGGCAAGACTTACAACTTGTATGGTTGGTTGTTCCCCATTGTATCGTATTGTATTGTTATCCCAAAACAATGTTTGTTTTGATTGTTTCATTAAAATTGGTTGTATTGTATTGTTAAATCCATTATTCCGGAACAATGAAAAATCCTCTTTTTTGAAACAACCGATTTGGTATGGTTGGATTGTTTCCTATTTTTCTTTTCAATTATGCCCTAACTTATTACTCCACAATTCTATTTTACCCTTTACCTTTTTTTTTATTCTATTTTAACTCCAAATCTCCAACATATAACCTACTTTATTTTTTTTCAAGAACTTTTGCCACCAATGTTAAAGATGTTTTGCCGCCTTCTATTTTATTTTTTCTCCTAATTTGCTTTTAACTCAATCCTAATTAGCTGTGCTCCTTCGTTTTGCCTTCTTCTGTCTCGCTCCTTTGTTCTGCTTTCTTAAGGTGTTTGCCTTTTTCTGTTTTGCTTTTTTTAAAATTATTTTTATGCATAATTTTAATAAATTTAATATTTAAACAATTGAGGTTATTTTAGTCAACTTATCAGTTACAGTACAGTACGATACAGTCGAACCAAACAACAAAGTATTATTTAATAATAGCAAACAGTACAATCTATCCAAACATTTTATTTACAATACGATACGATACGATACAATACGATACGATACAATACAATACATTATAAAACGATGGAAAACAATGATCCAAACATAGTGTTAAATAGGGAAGTATGCAAAGCAGGGCAGGTTAAGATTTTGGTGGGTTAAGGCTTGACCTGACCTATCCCGACCTTCCCTGCCCTATTAACATCCCTACTCAGGGTCCTAGGCTGAATGGCAGGAATGCTGATGGATTTCCATTTGTGACTTCAGCAATTCCTCTTTCTGGTTTGAAAAGATGGGTATCTTCACCCCATATCTTAGAGTCATGGTGGAGTGATCGGACTGGAACACCCATCCTCGTACCTTCTGGTAGGGTGAACTTCCCTAATCTGGTTTCCTTCTTAACTTTTCTTGCAGTGGCGACCGTAGGAGGATATAGTCTTAAGGTCTCATTAATGATCATGCTCATCTGTGCCAAAAGAAAAAAACTTGAAAGTTAGAGGACCCTATGTCATCTCTAGGTGACATGAAAGTTGAAAAAATCTTAATATAATGGAAAAATAAAGGAGCTGTTGATAGTTCCCATACTATTTTTAGTTTTGATATGTCTTCTGAATTTTGATATCACTGACCAAGTAAGTCTAGTGCCTCTTCTCTTGCTTTGTCTTGCCAGTCAGTGTGTAGTGCTAAAAGAGAAATAGTTCGTGAGAGCAATGTCTGAGTTGTTTCTTGACCAGCATCACAAAACATCTTGTATTCATCAATTATTTCTTCAAATATGATCTCGTCTCTTCCAGCAGTATCATGATTAGCTTTCAAAAGCATCCCAAGATAATCTGTCGTATTGCTATTCATACTGCTTACCATTGCACACTCTCTTTTCTTGATTATCTCTGTGACAAGTTGCTGGATTATTCTTTCAAGTTTGTCTGCTTCTGTGTCATCGCTGTCTTTAAGACTACATAGGTTGTAGAAAAATAATACAGATCAAGGATGACTAGAAGTCTAGAACATTTGGCAAAGCTTATTACGGAAAGGACTCTGGACACGTTAAAGGACTTCCTGAAGTACTTATTGGACTTGGAAAAAGTTCTTAAGAGAAAATACCTCATGGAGGGTAATTTAGATTTGTGCATCCTTTTTTCTACGATAAAAATCAACTTCTTCAGCATCTGAAAGAGCTGCTCTCCTTCCAATTAATTACGACCAAATGCAGTTCTTGGAATCACCTCTTATGTCAATTTCCTGTCTCTTGAACTCTTCACAAATTTCTAATTTCTTGCAGTCATAGTTGTATACAGTCAAAATTGGCCTTGCCCTTCTTGTGCAGCTGACCGAGGGAGGAGCATGATAAGTCAAGGATCCGCTTCGATTTATATCAAACTGTGGTGCAGGGTTAGGTTGTCAAGCTCGAGACCACAAGACCGATTGAGACCGAGACCGACCAAAACCGAGATCGAATGAGATCGAGATCGATCAAGAACGGGACCGAATAAGATGTAGATCGAGAGAAGCTTACTGGGTTGAATAACGGAAAGACGAAATATCCGCAATTGGGCAAGGATCACGGCGCTAATCTCAGCACGTATCAAGAAGAGGCCGATTAATCAGTCAATCATGAGATTTCTTACTGTATTTAGAATTGTATCAAGAATAGGACTCCCCTACTATATATAGGGGGTCTGACCATTTGTAAAGGGCATCATATTAAGTTACAAAAATCTATATATTCACTTTCTCTTAAGCTCTCAATATTTCGGTTACTTTGTTCTTGTATAAACTAAATCCTCACTTGGTTCTAGGGTGATCAAATTCGAGGGCCAAGGCTACTTGATTCAGTTGGTTTGCTTTAATTTCTATTTAATGTCAATTTTAATGTCAATATACATTTTCTCTCAGTTTGTGCCAAGTGAAATCACGTGTCCTTATAACCATAGTATAAATTCAATTGTTATCCGTTTTTAGGGTAAACAGTTTGGCTCCCACCGTGGGGCTAAGGATAATAGTGATTGCCTGGTACAAATTTTCGTAACACACACTATTTACGGTTGTTCTTTGAAGTGTTTGATTACAGGATTAAAAAATGTTAAACTCTCAGTCAGCATCTCAACACATAATCTCAACCACCACGACAAGAATGAGAAATGATGGGTTTTCAGTATTTTATGTTTTGATGATCTAACAAACTTAGGCATGAAAAACCAGATAGAGCACCTGGCGCACAGGATATACATTTCATGCGAACTAATTGAAGCCTGAAAATCAGCAAAGGCAGAAACACAACAGGGACCTGATGATCTGGCTCTTTAGGGTTCTCCGACATAAGCAAGTCAGTGACTGTACGCAATCAAGATAAAGAGGAACACAACACGGACCTGCTACTTCAGGGTTCACTACAGAAAGTACAAGTCAAGTACACAACTCGAACGTGATAGAAGAAAGTGACCATCTGGCAACTATTACAGAAGAGGAACACAACTAGGACCTGGTCTGTTGGTGTGTCCTGACAGGAAGTACAAAGCCCACAATCCAGCTGGAACGCAACTGTCCAGAAGTGGATGTGCAGACTGTGCAGCAGTCACTTCTCACTGGGAAGAAGTACACCAAGAGTTGACATCACTACCCATTGTGATATCTTTTGTGATAAAATAACCTGGTGCAAGACACACTTCCTTTGTGCATTCAGTGATATTCTCTCAAGCATAACAAAGTTCATCTAGCATTGAAGTCACTGGTGTGTCAAGAACAAGAAGACAACTCCACTAAGGATCAGTTTCTAATAGAGTCCTATGTACGTCCATAGTTGAGTTGTAATCTTGTTAATTATTCTACATTGTAATTCCTAGTTTGCTTTCTTAGAAGTGCTGTCTTAGGAACAAACCAAATTCGTAAACTTTAGAGTTTATGTTGTGACTAGGAATAGCCATAAGTTAAATCCTCTGTAACTAGGAGAGTTGTAGAGTGGCTTGTGGTGGTGCATCACAAGTTAGTTTGAAGTCTTGCAAAAGGGAGTTTGCAAAGTGGCTTGTAATAGGTAGATTACAAGTTAGTTGAGTTTAAAGCCTACATGTGTAGGTCGTGGTTTTTTGATCACCTTGTGTGGGATTTTTCCACGTAGAAAACCTCTGGCCTTCTTTACATTCAGTCCTTACTGCACTCTACGTATCAGTCTCATAGAGGACCAGGTACTCTATAGTTTGGTGGACTCACATAAGTCAACAATTGGTTCGGGCCAGGTTTCTCCTATCAGGCTAACACTAGGAACGAAATCCTCAATGGCTGGTGCTCGCAGCCAAGCTTTGAGGAGGACAATCAACCCTATAGACCTCCCAGATTCAATGGTCAATACTACGGCTGTCGAAGACCAGGATGCATGATTTCATTATGGCAGAAGATTCAGAGCTGTGGAACATTATATGTGATAGTCCACATGTTCCCATGAAGAAGATTGAAGAAACAGGGCATATGGTGCTGAAAGGAAGAAGAGAGTACAACGACATTGGCAGAAAAAGTTGTTAGAATAAGAACTACCGCGCCAAGAAAATCTTGATGTGTGGCATAGGACCTGATGAGTACAAACAGAGTCTCAAGCTTGTGAAACTGCAAGGAAATATGGAAGGCGTTTGCAAACCGCTCATGAAGGAACCACTCAGGTCAACAATCCAAGATTGACATGCTCAACCACACGAATATGAAACTCTTCAGATGAAGGATGATGAATTCTATACAAGATATGCACACTAGATTCACCTCCATCATAAATGAGCTTCATTCACTTGGAGATGTCATTCCCAGATATAAGCTCGTAAGGAAAATCCTCAGCATCCTACTCTTTGGTCTTGGGAAAGTAAGGTAAAATGCCTCACGAAGCTAAATCTTACAGACTCTGACCACGGATGAGCTGATTGGTAATCTGAAAATATACGAGATGAAAAGAAAGAAATACAGCGAAAGAAGAGAGCCCAAGAAGGAAAAGAACCCGGTGCTTAAAGCTGAACAGAGTGATTCAAGTGATGAAGATAGTGACATGGCCTATCTTACTAAGAGATTTCAAAAATTGGTTCGAAGAAATGGTGGCATACCAAAGTGGGGCAGTTCAAGTAAAACAAGGAACAACGATCTCTGTCATGGATGTGGAAAGTCAGGGCATTTCATTAAAGATTGCACACTTGTGAAACAAGAGCAGTACTAGCAAAATCCTGACAAGGCAGGAAAAAGGAACCTGGTTCCCGAGAAAAATTTCAATCGAAAAAGTGCTGTAGACAATATCGTTAAGCAGGCCCTTGCTGCTTGGGGAGACTCCTCAAGTGAATCCGAAAGGGAATCAGATGCAGAAAACAGTTCCCTGTTGGCAGTGGAAACTAAAGCAACAAAGTACGACTCACTGTTCGCGCTGATGGATCAGTCAGATGATGACGATGAAGAAGATGAAGACGGCAAGCTAAGCTTCCGGGATGTTCAGAGAAATCTCAAATCCTATTCTTCCAAGAAGCTAAGGTCTTTATCAAATGTCTTAATTGATGCCTATTATAGCCTTATGAACGATAAGGAGACCCTCTCAGTAGAACTAGGAGAGGCAGAGCAATCTAGAGATGATCTAGTGGTATGTATAGTAGACCGAGATGAGACCATAGCTAATCTTGAAATAGAGAAGGAGGCCTTGAATTAAAGAATAACCAGTGTGGAAAATGCGAGAGACGACTTGATTGTAGTAGTTGTTGATCTAAAAGAAATAATAGAAGGCCTTAACAATGAGAAACACGTCTTGGAAGAAAAAGTTGCATCTGTTAAGGAGGAAAGGGATGACCTGTTAGAAATATGCACTGATCTAGAGGAAACCATTGAGGGACTCAATAGAGAACATAGGAATGTAAGTCTTGGGAAAGGGAAGGAAGTAGCCAGTGAGTCGCACATCTTGCTAGAAAAGGAGTTAACTGTTGTAAAAACTAATCTTTGCAGTGAACTCGAGAGAAATCAGCAACTCCAAACTGAGTTGGAGAAAGTTAAAAATGATCTTGAAAAATCCTTGAAATGGACCTGGTCCTCAGATGCTCTTACTGCCATGTATCTCAACAATAGTGAGAACAAGCAGGGCATTGGGTTTCAAAGGGAGAAAACTCCCTACAACCCACAAAGCAAGTATGTCCTGTACCTGATAACTGGCTATGTACCCACTGCGGAAACAATGGGCATTTTAGAGAAAATTGTTAGGCCAGGGTTCAGTCTGTTTAGAAGAACAAAGCGTTCACTGATAGAGTGACTACTAGCAAAGAACCAGGTACCACTCGCAAAAAGCGGATGCTGCCTGCGTGGACCAGGAAATCTCTCATTCATCCTTTTTATAATAACAAGGGACCCAAACTAGTTTGGGTTCCTAAATCTAACCCTTGATGAGCATGTGCAGGGAACATTGAGAGGAAGTAGACTGCGATAGACTATGGATAGTGAATGCTTGAAGCACGCAGCTGAAAACATCATGAAATGCTTCTCACTGTAAGTCCTGCAGGAAGGGAATGTATCCTTAAGAAGGAAGTAAATGGTACATTCTCTGTAAATGAAAAGGCAGAAAGGTTCCCTTGGGACTCGAATAGGAAAAGACGGAACTGGAAAATGAAGCATGGATAGTGCTTGTCGCCTATGGAATCACCAAAAAGGCTCTGAGAAGAAGGAATGAACACTGCTCTCTACTGGAGAACAGGTGTCGAACCAGGTTCTTCCTAAATCAAAACTCGCCAGGAACCGCCAATTAGAAGAAAATGCCTTGCCCCTGACAACAGGAAGGATCAACATGGGAAGCACAATGCAAACAGACGAGTGAAGGAATCTCTCTGGGGAACAACCTACAAAACAAAGTCAAAAGGTCTCCAACAAAGGAAGCACTAAATGGTAGGAAATGCTCATGGGGAAACATCTGAGGCTTCAAATCAGGAGGATGTTAAAGTGAGCAAAATGAAGGAGACTGGCAAAAGACAACGCAACAGCATTCTCTGCGTCGCACAAAGAACCTGGTACATTACTGGCTACCAATGAAGCTGAAGGAAGAAGTAAAGATGCAGCTCATGGCACTACGCAAAAAGTAGAACACATAGCATAGGAAATCAAATGAACCTCC